TGTATATATATATATATATATATATATATATATATATATATATATATATATATATATATATCCTTTCTCTCTCTCTCTCTCTCTCTCTCTCTCTCTCTCTCTCTCTCTCTCTCTCTCTCTCTCTCTCTCTCTCTCTCTCTCTCTCTCTCTCTCTCTCTCTCTTTCTCTCTCTCTCTTTCTCTTTCTCTTTCTCCTTCTCTTTCTCCTTCTCTTTTTCCTTCTCTCTCTCTCTCTATCTATCTATCTCTATCTCCTTTTTAGATTTTCTAGAATATTGTACTGAAGTCAATGGATGATCCCATACACACAACACTCTCTCTCTCTCTCTCTCTCTCTCTCTCTCTCTCTCTCTCTCTCTCTCTCTCTCTCTCTCTCTCTCTCTCTCTCTCTCTCTCTCTCTCTCTCTCTCTTTCTCATCTCTCTCTCTCTCTCTATCTCTCTATCTATCTATCTATCTCTATCTCTCTCTCTCTTTCTTTCTCCTTCTCTTTCTCCTTCTCTATCTACTTCTCTCTCTCCTTCTCTCTCTCCTTCTCTTCCTCTTTCTCTTTCTCCTTCTCTTTTTCTCTCTTTCTCTTTCTCTTTCTCTTTCTCTTTCTCTCTCTCTCTCTCTCTCTCTCTCTCTCTCTCTCTCTCTCTCTCTCTCTCTCTCTCTCTCTCAATCTCTCTCTCTCTCTCTCTCTATCTATCTCTATCTATCTATCTATCTATCTATCTCTATCTCCTTTTTTTGATTTTCTAAAAAATATATTTTCAATACCTATTGTACTGAAGTCAATCACAAAAAAAAAAAAATACACAGATAACATACACACCAAAATTCCTCCCCGCAACGGACGAAGAAAATAGAAAAATAAAATGAAAAGAATGAAAGAATAAGAAAGAATAAAGACTGTATTTGACCACAATAATGTTAGATAACGATGCATCCCCACAAGTCTGTAATTAGATTGAGTAAATGCGATGACTCTATTCCCGTGTATATAAAGCACCCTCGCGCCATCGGTCGGAGCGAGACCCGCCAAAGACAAATAGGCAGGCAGACAGTGTGCCGCTACTGGCAGTCTCGACTCGCATCTAGTCAGTCAACTTTCGAAGAGCAGGGGATACGGTAAGTTTTTTTCTGTCTTGAAATTTAAAGAATGTATATATGTATATATGTATATATATATATATATATATATATATATATATATATATATATATATATATATATATATATATATATATATATTTATTTATATATTTGAGAAAATGTATGTATGTTTTGGATATTTCATAATGACCGATATTTTTTTTGGAACAATTATAGATTTGGAAGACGTGTATTCGTCTCATGTTTCAATGACACTTTTGTTGTATGGTATTGTATAGAGCGATTCGGGAAATTATAAAATGTTCGTGAATATTAGTTGCAGGCTTTATTACAAAAAACAATAACATTTCTTACATATTTTTATATCTCATTGATTTTTTAAAAACAAAAATCGTTTTATTTGTACATTTAAGATATCATAATAACTATGTTAGTTCCAAACTTATTCATACATTCAGTCCACAGGTCTATATCTAGTGAATAATTTGAAATATTAAAAAAAATATATATATTTTAGAATACTTGTGTTGTATGCCATCGAGACAAACGCATGCGATTCGAGTCACTTAAAATTTAGAACAATAGTAATCAATTCAGATTCATTCAGATTCTTAAAAACAGGATATTCTTATTCTAGTAAAATGCATTCAGTAGATAACAGCCGTACTGCTTATATATCTGATTCTGCATTCTTTGAATGAATTTAACTTAGTTGTGTTTAAAGAAATTTTTGAAATGGTTTATGGGAGAGGCAATATAATGAATTTGCTTTGTTCTCCACTCTCCCATCTATGATTTTACTCCTCATGCTCTTTATTTTCATATAAGACAAAAAAAATATCCGTGAAAAGGAGAAGACAGGCATCCTTTGATGCTCTGCTGGCCATGCCTAATGGATCTCTAGATTCTGAACACTTCGTTTCCTCATTATTATGATTTTACTGCATTAGATCATCATTTTATTTATTTATCGATTGTTATTTGTATTTTCGTATTTACCAGAAGTTATCCAAAGTGTATCTACAAGGGAGTCTAAAATTGCACTGGCGTACCCCAGGACAGCTCTATTGCTACTTTGTTATTTATCATGTGCGGTATAACTTTTGTTTCAAACTCATTGTAACTGCTTTGGAAAGTTAGGTGTTCACTTGATAAAAAAGTCACTTCATATATATATATTTTTTGTCTGTTCTGTTTCATCTTGAACTGAAAAGAACAGGTAACTTCAGTTAATATGTTAATTTATCTGGAGGTCTTCATAATAGACTTTTTTTCCTTCTGACATATTTGTCGATTTTTTTTCTTTCGTTTTCCTGAGAAGACAGTTCCATAGTAGTATAATCGCACAGACCTTTACACAATACGAAGCACCAGCGATCTAAAAATTCACTGCACAAGCCTTACATTATTCGTAACTTAAATACCATTTTCTCCCCTATTTATGTATATATTATTAGGCATGTTATTCAGTGTCGGTCACTCTCTTCTTGAAAGGTTTAATGCTGTACAGGCGTCGTGTGGCTTCACCCTAACACCCATTAAACTAAGGAGTGATTATATAGGTGAAAGAAATGAATCTCTTTACATTTATACATTTATTTATTTATTTACTGTGTACTCTTACCTCAGCTGGGGTAGGCCAGGGGGTTTAAAACACCTACTTTCTTTAAACACGAATTTTGATTTCATCACGTTTGGAAATTTGCCACTACAGGTAAATATAAATAGTCTATCGGCTTTGTTTGTTTGAATTTTCTTTGTCATTCTGTATTTTGCTGTATTTATAATTTTCCCTCCGTGAGTTCTCTGCGACTACATAGCACTTTGTTTTTCGTACTAGGTTTTATGCTTAACGAATGATAATGTTGATGATTCGTCAAGAGAAAAGAAGAAAAAAATACTTATATGTAACCAATTATATCATGTTCTTTTATTCATATCATATTTTTACATTTGTATTTAATTGTTTATTCTCTTTTTTCAGTCTGAACGAGAAGAGGAAAAATGGCCGCGCCTGTCGTCATGCCGTCCAACGTCAGCCGCCATCCTCATTTCGATTACTATGGGTGAGTGGAACTAATGGGCATGTGCGTGCGTGTGTGTGGCGAGAGAGTAGGGGGTTACAATCATTTTAATAAATTTATATATATATATATATATATATATATATATATATATATATATATATATATATATATGTGTGTGTGTGTGTGTGTGTATATATATATATATATATATATATATATATATATATATATATATATATATATATATATATATTTATATATATATATGTATACACACACACACACACACACACACACACATATATATATATATATATATATATATATATATATATATATATATATATATATATATATATATATGTATGTATGTATATACATACATATATACATATATATATATATATATATATATATATATATATATATATATATATACATATACATATATATACATATATATACACATACACACATATATACATACATATACACACATATATTATATATATATATATATATATATATATATATATATATATATATATATACATATATATACACATACACACATATATACATACATATACACACATATATATCTTTATATATATATATATATATATATATATATATATATATATATATATATATATATATATATATATATATAATTTTTTTTTTTTTTTTTTTTTTAACAGCCATTTATTCCACTGCAGGACATAGGCCTCTCTCAGTTCACTACTGAGAGGTTACATGGCAGTGTCACCCTTGCCTGATTGGATACATATATATATACATATATATATATATATATATATATATATATATATATATATATATATATATATATATATGTATATATATATATATATATATATATATATATATATATATATATATATATATATTCACATATATACACCATCTCTCTCTGGAAGGGGAAAGGGGATCAGTTGGACTGTAGCAACTACAGTGGCATTACACTGCTCAGTACACCAGGCAAGATTTTCGCCCACAGTCTTCTGAAACGGATCCGCGACTACCTACTAAAGCACCAGAGACCAGAGCAGTCTGGATTCACGCCTAACAAGTCCACAATAGACCGTATCCTAGCGCTTCGAGTAACTGTGGAACGCTGTCGTGAGTTCGGTCGTGGGTTGCTTGCAGTCTACATCGACCTCAAGAAGGCGTTTGACTTTGTGCATCGAGAATCACTATGGGAAATTCTGAGACGGAAAATCCGACACGCATTATTGGCTTACAAGCAAGCCTATATACCGGTACTGAAGAGTATGGTGGGTTCCTGTCGAACTTCTTCCCTGTTAATTCAGGGATGAGGCAAGGCTGTGTCCTTCAACAACACTTTTCAACACCTGCATGGACTGGATAATAGGCAGAGCTACTATCCAAAGTCAGTGTGGAACTTTGCCGATGATGTTGCTATCCTATTTAAGTCTCTGGAGTCAATGGTAGCGGCTCTTGATGAATTTAGTAATGAGGCGAAACCCTTGGGCCTATAGGTCTCCTGGACCAAGAGCAAGATTCAGGACTTTGGGGGCCTGTTAGGGAAAACAATTCAATAAATTCATGCTTGCGGTGAGGACGTTTAAGTCACAAAGACCTCTACATACCTTGGTAGTGCAGTCCATGTCTCTGGGCTGTCAGACCAAGAAGTCAGTAGACGGATTGGCCTGGCAGCAGGAGCCATGAACTCCATCAACAAGAGCATTTGGAGATGTCAGTACCAAGCTATGTATCTTCAAGGCCTTGATACTGCCAGTTTTGCTGGACGCTATCTAGTGCCTTGGAGTCTCGTCTTGATGGCTTTTGTAACAAGTCTCTTCGGCGAATCATAGGGTACAGTTGGCAGAACCATGTTTCCAACCGGCTACACCGTGAGACTGACATGAGACCTGTTACTTGCATAATCCGGGATCGCCAACTCAGGTTATATGGGCACCTAATTCGTTTCCCTGTAGATGACCCTGCCCATCAGGTTGTATCTCTACGAGACAATCCTGGGTGGTGGAGGCCCGCGGGACGACCTAGGAGGTCGTGGCTTGGACATCTCGACCAGACCTGTCGCAAGGAGTTAGAGATGGACCGAGGGCCTGCCTGGAGACTCGCCATGAGGGACCCTCGTGGCTCTCTCTCTCTCTCTCTCTCTCTCTCTCTCTCTCTCTCTCTCTCTCTCTCTCTCTCTCTCTCTCTCTCTCTCTCTCTCTCTCTCTCTCTCGCTCTCTCGCTCTCTCTCTCTCTCTCTATCTATCTATCTATCTATCCTCATCTCTCTCTCTGTCTCTTCCACAGATACGAAGTGAAGATGAATGGCTGGAACACCCCGCCCGAATACCTGAGTTACGTGGACGAACACTGGCTCAAGTTCGAAGCTCCGAATCCCATGATGCACCACCTCCTCGGCGTTCTCTATATTTTCCTCACCTTCTGCTCCTGCGTCGGGAACGGCTGCGTCATCTGGATCTTTTTGACGTAAGGAATGGGGGTTTGATTGTGTTTGCGTTAGGGAGTTTGCGTGTGTTTGTTTGTATTGGGGGATTGTGTTTGTTTGTGCTAGGGGTTTGTGTTTGTGTTTGTATATGTGTGTGTATGTGTGTGTGTGTGTGAGAGAGAGAGAGAGAGAGAGAGAGAGAGAGAGAGAGAGAGAGAGAGAGAGAGAGAGAGAGAGAGAGAGAGAGGGAAAGGGAGAGAGAGAGAATGAACTATACATGAAATTATAAACATATTTTACATAAGATTATGAAAATCTAAATTCAGTATTGTCTTAGAAATGTGCATACCAAGTTACAAACCTTAAATTCGCCGTCCACTTTCCACCCAACCACCTACTCCCAATAAATAAATAAAACAAATAAATAACTTACCAAATAAACAAACACACACACCAAAAACCAAACTCGCACACAAACACACAAACAAACGAATACGCTAAACAAAACAAACAAACGAACACACACACACACATACATACAAACACACACGCAAACACACACCAAAACACACACACACCAAAACACACACACACACCAAAACACACACACACCAAAACACACACACACACACCAAAACACACACACACCAAAACACACACACACACACCAAAACACACACACACACACGCACGCACGCACACACACACACACACACACACACACACACACACACACACACACACACACACACACACACACACACACACACACAACAAAACACGCACACAAACACACACCAAAACACACAAACAAACACAACCAAACCCAAAAACCCAAAACCAAAACCAAAAACCAGATCGAAGAGCCTGCGCACCCCTTCCAACATGCTGATCGTGAACCTAGCTCTGGCGGACTTTGTGATGATGCTGAAGACGCCCGTTTTCATCATTAACTCGTTCAACGAAGGACCTGTCATGGGAAGACTCGGCTGCCAGATCTATGGGCTGATGGGCGCCTACACGGGACCTGGAGCCGCCTGCACTAACGCCGCGATTGCCTTCGATCGGTACAGGTGAGTCGAGGGCAAGGGGAGGTGGGTGGGGAGAGAGGGGAGAGGGGGAGGGAGGGGAGGTGGAGGGGGAGTGGGGTGGGCGGAGGGAGGGAGAAAGAGAGAGGGAGGGATGGAGGGGAAGAGATGGAGAGAGAGAGAGAGAGAGAGAGAGAGAGAAGAGAGAGAGAGAGACAGACAGACAGAGAGACAGACAGAGAGAAAGAGAGAGAGAGAGAGAGAGAGAGAGAGATGCAACTCAGCTAGAGGGGGCTGGAAGGACCACAGGATAGGAAGTCGTTGATTTTCAGATCGAATACGAATAGGCAATATAAAGTAAAATAATTTTCCATTTCCATTTTTTTCTTCTTCTTTCCTCCTCTTCTCTCCGTTCTTTATATAAATGTGCCCTCGTGTGTACCTTCGAAATTTTAAAACATTTTGCAACACGCAAGGAATATTCATTTCTCGCTTACCACGAACTAACGGTCCTCGAATTTCAAACTAATCATAATTATGATTATATTCAATACACCGCTTAACAGATTTTAGTGTTGTTCATGACCGCATCACTATATGCTGCGTCGTTTATGAAAAAAGGAAGAATACAATTTTCGTTCTCACTTCACCCTTCACCCCATTCTCTTTCTAACACTTCACTCTTCTTCCTATTCTTCTTCTGACACTTGCTATTTCCCCGTGTCCTCTTTTCTTCGTGTCCTTTCTAACACTTCGTCCTTCTCTCCATGTCTTGTCTAACGCTCTACCTTGTTACTCATTCTCTTTCTAACACTTCACTCTTCTCCTTATTTTCTTTCTAACTCTCCGCTCGTCTGCCCGTGTCCTTTTTTTAACCCTCCCCCCTCCTCCCCGTGTCCTTTCTAAACCCCCCAACCTCCTCCCCGTGTCCTTTCTAACCACCTCCACCCTCCTCCCGTGTCCTTTTTTAACCCTCCACCCTCCTCCCCTCCTCCCGTGTCCTTTTTAAACCCCTCCACCCTTTTCCCTGTGTCCTTTTTTAACCCTCCACCTTCCTCCCCTCCTCCCCGTGTCCTTTTCTAACCCCTCCACCCTCCTCCCCGTGTCCACAGGACCATCACCAACCCCCTGGAAGGACGCCTGACCAGCGGCCAGGTGACGGCCATCCTGTTCTTCATCTACGCCTGGATCACGCCCTGGGTCCTTATGCCCTTCCTCGAGATCTGGAACCGATTTGTCCCCGGTGAGTCTGAGAGGGGGAGGAGGAGGGGGGTAGGGGTAGGGGGAAGGGGGAAGGGAGGTGAGGGAAAGGGGTAGGGAGGGAAGGGGAAGGGAATGGGGTAGGGGGATGGGGAAAGGAGATAGGAGGGAGGGAAAGGGGAAGGGAGGGAAGGGGAAGGGAATGGGGTAGGGGGATGGAGAATAGGAGGGAAGAGAGGGAAGGGGAGAGGGCGGGGAAGGAGGTGAGGGAAGGGGAAGGGGACGGGGAAGAGAGGGAGGGAAGGGGGAGGGGGACGGGGAAGGGAAGGAGGGAAGGAGGGAGGGGACCAGGGAGCGGGGAAGGGAGTGAGAGGGCATGTGGGTTGTGAGTTGTGGGATTGAGAGGGTAAGACGAGTTTTTTTCATGATATGGTCAGAGGGATTTTGTTTCAGATGGATTTGCGGATAGATAGGTGTGTATGTGTGTGTCTGTGTGTTTCAAATTGCACAGATATAGATGTAGACTAAGATATAGACTTGGACGTGGACGTGGACGTAGACACGGACACAGACCCAAATACAGATAAGCACAGACATAAAAACGTACGCTTCGATTTACACATACACTTAAATATACACAGATACACACACACACACACACACACACACACACACACACACACACACACACACACACACACACACACACACACACACACACGCACGCACGCACACATACACAGATACAAACAAACACAAACATACACACAGATACAAACACACACACACACACACACAGATACAAACAAACACAAACATACACACAGATACAAACACACACAAACAAACACACATACACACACATACACACCAAAACACACACACACACACACACCACACACACACACACCACACACACACACACCACACACACACACACCACACACACACACACACACCACACACACACACAACAAAACACGCACACAAACACACACACACACACCACACACACACACACACACCACACACACACACACACGCACGCACGCACACACACACACACAACACACACACACCAAAAACCAAAACCAAAAACCAGATCGAAGAGCTTTTTTTTTTTTTTTTTTTTTTTTTTTTTTTTTTTTTTTTTTCATGATATGGTGAGAGCGATTTTGTTTCAGATGGATTTGCGGGTAGATAGGTGTGTGTGTGTGTGAGAGAGAGAGAGAGATGCAACTCAGCTAGAGGGGGCTGGAAGGACCACAGGATAGGAAGTCGTTGATTTTCAGATCGAATACGAATAGGCAATATAAAGTAAAATAATTTTCCATTTCCATTTTTTTCTTCTTCTTTCCTCCTCTTCTCTCTCTCTCTCTCTCTCTCTCTCTCTCTCTCTCTCTCTCTCTCTCTCTCTCTCTCTCTCTCTCTCTCTCTCTCTCTCTCTCTCTCTCTCTCTCTCTCTCTCTTCTCCTCTTCTCTCCTCTCCTCTCCTCTCCCCTTCCCTCCTTCTCTCCTCTCCTCTCCTTTCCTCTTCTCGTGTTTCCTCTCCCCTTCCCGCCTACTCTCCTCTCCTCGCCTTTCCTCTTTTCGTATTTCTTCTCCCTTTCCCTCCTTCTCTCCTCTCTTCTCCTTTCCTCTCCTCGTATTTCCTCTCCACTTCCTTCTCTCTTCTCCTCCCATTCCCTCCTTCTCGTATTTCCTCTCCCCTTCCTTCCTTCTCTCCTCTCCTCACCTTCCCTCCTTCTCGCATTTCCTCTCCCTTTTCCTCCTTCTCTCCTCTCCTCTCCTTCCCTCTCCTCTCCTTTCCTCTCTTCGTATTTCCTCTCCTCCCCTTCCCTCCTTCTCTCCCCTCCGCCCTCCCCAGGCCAGCAAGATGAACGTGGATTCCCTGCGATCCGGCGACAAGACCAACATGAGGCAGGAGGTACGTGTAGCCAAGGTCGGGGCCACTCTCACGTCGCTCTTCCTTATCTCGTGGACGCCCTATGCCGTGGTCGCCTTCACCTGCACCTTCGGGAGGCCGGATCTGGTGACGCCCTTCGTGTCTATGATTCCTGCCTGTACCAGCAAGACTGCGGCTTGTATCGACCCCTTCGTCTACGCCATCAACCATCCCAAGTAAGTGCGGTCGGGGGGGAAAATATCGTGGTATTCTCTTTCGGTTGTTTTTTTTTTAAGTGGGTGCGTGTAATAGCGGGGCTCATGTTATTTTGTTGTTGTTTTTTTGTCTATTTTGATCAAACTTACGTTTGTTTGTTTTTTCTTTCTCTCTCTCTCTTTCTCTTTCCCTCTTTGTCTTCGTCTCTCTGTCTCTCTTTCGCTTTCACTGTCTCTTCCCTTTTTTTCTTTTCCTATCCTTCTCTCCTTCCCTATTTCTCTCTTTCTCTCTCTCTCTCCTCCCTTCCTTGCACAGGTACCGCATCGAACTCGGCAAGAAGATGCCTTGGTTCTGTGTCCACGAGAAGGAGGAGACCAGCGCACCATCCGAAACTGTCTCCAAGGAAGCACCTGCTAATGCCTAAGATTCTTTAAGGAATAAGAGGGTCTCTCAAAGTGGCTGTGTATTTAAAAAAAAGAGGCCCGACAACATGGGTATCCACGAAGCGAAACTACTCGACGACAATAGCCATGCATTTCCGTCGTCGAAGATTGAGAATGAAGAGGCACCGAAAACTATGGGAAAAAAAGACCACGAGAGATGATGATTAACCCTTATCTTTGTAAGATGACGACCGCCTAAAACTGAACCTTTGCCTTCGCTCATGGCCTCACCGAAGAAAGCAATCGACGCAGAACATCGATTCCTTTTCGGTTCTACCACCTGAAGGGGAGGTATTTTCGGTGAGATGATGTATCGAGGACAGCTGTTCCTATGTGGAAACAGTGTATGTAAATTATTTTATCTGGAAATCAATAATTGATTTCCTTTTTTCTTTTTATTTCCTACTTTTATCTTGCCATTTTTTTGGCGAGGGCAGCCTTCAAAAAAAAAACGAAACAAAATAATGGTTTAGGATCTAGTTTCCAGACGAAAGAACATTCGCAGCGACGTGGCGTATTAAAGGAAAATAGAGTCCTGTACGTTGGAATTTTTACCACGCTGGGAACGAGACACGAAGCAGCGAAAGCAAAGATAACGGAAATATAAACATTTATGATTTTTTTGATATTTTTTTTCATAAACAGATTTCTAAATAGGTTAAACCACATCACCTTTCTTCCAGAGTTAACTAGTATACGTTTAGCATCGAAAGTTATAATAAAGCGTTAAAAAGTCAATATTTTCTCCGTTAATAACAAACCTCTCTGATCAAAGAAACAATCAAAAAAATATCCCGTATTCCTATTCCTATTATTCGCTTATCTGACCCATATCATATCTAATTATTTGAATTCTAGATAAGCGTTTTAAAAATTCGTATGAAAAAAAAAAACGGTTTCGAAAATATTCTCGCGCCCTCTTAGGTTTTAAGACCGTGACACGCACACCGCGAGACGATCCTTTGTGAAAATTAATAATCGGAATTTATCTAATTAATCGCGTTGTTCCTTCTCCATTTTACTTTCTCCTTCTCTTCCTTTATCGTTTCTTTTTCCATCTACCATGTTCTTTTGTTCCAGTCTCTTTGGCCACAGAGGTTTAACCCGTTTTCTTTCACATCTTTTTTAAACACATGTTTTTCTTTTCTCTCTCTCTCTCTCTCTTTCTCTTCATGTGTAATCAGCCGCCCACGCACATTGGCGTTGTGACTTTTCTATTTAAAAAAAAAGCATTTCTATTCCTAACCTTAGAGATAATTCGAGACGTTAGGGTAATAATGATTCATTTACTTTAGTACAGTCTGTGTTCAAATGTAACATAAGCCTTGAATAACATTCTTTTCTTTCAATTGTTATGTTGGTTGTTATTACTACTACTACTACTACTACTACTATTATCATTATTATTATTATTATTATTATTATTATTATTATTGTTATCATCATCATTTTTAGTATTATCGTTATTTTTGTCATCTTCCTCAAGTGGCCTCTTTTTCAACTATGGGAAGTTCTTTGATACGTCCTTATGGTTCTGAATGTTCTCCAATGTGAACTTAATACTAAACCGAAGTAAAGTTGAATGCATGATTTCTGGTCTTTTGATTTCCATCTTTCCTCTTCTATCCTATTTAATGGCTTTTATACTCTGCTACACCACACTGGCCGAAGTCTGTATCTAAAACGTTGTAATGATAAATAAAGAAGAAACAAATAAAATAAAAAATAATGATAATTCATTGGGCTTCTGTGGTTCATATTGTAAATTATCATTTTCACCTGTAAGAATTTGCATTATGGAAACAGTATAGGCGTTGTTGCAAGATTTGCCTATACACATATGTATTAGCAAGTGTTATTTTTCATGGATAGTGAAATACTTGTGCTGGTAACTATACTATAATCTTATCAATATTAATTAATGAAAAATCAAACGCTAATAATCCTCTTTTTTATTATAGTTCTCAAAATGCACACACACACACACACACACACACACATATGTACATATATGTATACATATATATATATATATATATATATATATATATATATATATATATATATATATATATATATAAATAAATATATAATGAACAAGAAATAGTGACCCGCAACATATCTGTCAATATTTACTTTCATATATTTTTTGTATATCCACTGCTCAGACTAAACAGGCGTGACCAATCCGTTTGGGAAACAGCTGATGTTTGGCTCTGAAACGTTATTATTATTATTTTTTTTTTTACAGAAACCGACGTATCAAAATTTGTTTCATTAATCCTTAAGAGCTCTTAAAATCTTTTAAAAATGAACCGTCAAGAATGAATAAAGAATGAAAAAATATCAGGATATCATTTGAATGATAAACATCGAAAACAGACGTTGACGGAGATATTAGTTATGTACTTCTTTCAATAAAAAACAAAAAAATGATGATATATAGGAGAGAAAACGTATCACAACTCATATAGGTAAATAAGTGAAACGGCTGAGAATACATTGGATAAGCATAACCCATGGGTGTATCCAGTCATGGACAAAATATTAGACGCACTTTTCTGTTTTCTTTCTTTCTTTCTTTTCTTTTCTTTTCTTTGTAGAACGGGTACAACTGTGTTTCTTTGCAACAGGTAAGACTATAAAACACATGAAATAGATTCCAAATTGTTGAAATCTAAAATGGAACACTTCTTTTTTCTCCGATTGTAATGCATATTTATATTGAATAGAGCAAATGTAACCTAAATAATTTAGTGTGAGTTGCATGTACATATTTAAAACAAAATGTGTACGTATGGCAACACCGACAATCTGGCTTAATATTTCTGCAACAATGGTAAGCGGATTTGATCAAATCGTCGCAAATGCGTTTGCCATTTTATTATGGCGCACATATATATATATACATATATATATGTTGTATACGTGTGTGTGTGTATGTATATATATATATATATATATATATATATATATATATATATATATATATATATATATATATATATGTATATATATATATATATATATATACATATATATATATATATATATATATATATATATATATATATATATATATATATATATACACATATACATATACACACACACACACACACACACACACACACACACACACACACACACACACACACATATATATATATATATATATATATATATATATATATATATATATATATATATATATATATATATATATATACATAAAGGTAATTGTTTCCAAAACGCATTTCACGTTCATGAGTTTATTATACGTTAATCAATGACGGCTATAGGCATACCACAGATACCTTCTTTGATTGGCGGAATTCCGTATTCATCCAACAATCTTGTCTTGATAATCCCGTTTGTATGGAGGCCATGAAGTATATCAAGGAAATTATGAAGTAAACAGGATGAAATAAACTAAATGTAAAGCAATAACGAATAAAAAAAGAAAGAAAACACCAAAATCAGTCCAACGAACTCACCGAAAACTCTTAGGTTCTGTGCGTTATCCTTATATTGATATCATACGTATAATCCGTCTCCACAGGTCTTCCGCTCTTTCACATCGTCGTCGTTATTTTCAGATGATTCGTCATGGGTATCAAGTGTAATATTAGTAGTGGTATTAGAGACCTTATTCGCATTTTCAATATTACTGACATTTTCCTATATACTCCATAACTTTCTCATTCCATTAAATTATGAAGTAAACAATGATGAAATACATTAAATATAAAGCAATAATTAATCTAAAAAAAAGGGAAAGAAAACGCTAAAATCAACGTTACCTTTCACATTGTCTACGGAACGACACGCCAGCTTTCGTTAATATGTACGGACACAGTTCTGCAATATCAGCATTTACATATTCGAACAGCCTCTGGGTTTTTCTCTCTGTACAATGTATACGCAAGGTGTAGAAAGTTTCAAACTGATTCACTGCCTAGCTTTCAGAATCACGGCACAATATGCATGGGGGATTTCAGTGCTAGACACTATACATTTGGAGACAGTCAATGCAATGAAAACGGCGAAGAGTTCCGAAATTTTGTGAACAATAGATCCATGACCGTATATGATACAGACAGGAAAACTCACGTGGCGGGGGGTAGGCTAGATTATGTAATAGGAAGGGATCTTGTGCATGGAAACGTCAGCAGCATGCTTGCAACAGAGTTAATCAGTGACCACTTTGCAATAGTAACGAGATACGCTGTTGATAATAGTCTATCTGCAAAAACGAATAGGCTCAAAATTTCTATTCCTCCTTACCTTGAGCACCACTTTAAAGCACGTATTCATGACTGGTATAACGACTACACAGTAACGAGTGTTGATAAATTCTCCATGGACATGACAAAAGTGGTCACTGATTACTACAACACCTGGGTCTGTCCAAAGAAAACCTCAAAAAGCAACAATTCACAACGCCTAAAACAACCTAAGTGGGTCAGTGACCCTACACTATTAAGGGAACAAAAGCGAGTTCAGGAGCTTCTTGCTATGTACAAGCAGGACAATACCCGTGACAATCTTATTCAGTTTCTTAAGGCTAACAAAAATCTACGGGAATTAAAAACTCATTTCAGAAAAGAACACTTTGAACAGTTCCTACAAAGCATTAATAACAACACCTCAATGTCTGAGGTCTGGAAAAAAAATCAATCGACTCTCAGGCAAACCAACTAACACCCCGCAGTTCCATAGTCCTCTTGCACAAGCAGACATGCTCCTTAGTCAATGGGCTGGAGCGTCCAAATTGAGCTCACTTCCCACAAATATTCAGAATCACCTTAGTCATACTAAAATTGCACGTAAATTTGCCATTGAGATTGGATGTTCTGAGTGCGACCCTTCAGACTTTGCTGAGATTACTGAGTGGGAACTGGACAATGCACTGATCAAAGGAAAAGCGTCTGCACCAGGTGAGGATGGAATTACCTATAGTGTCCTCCGCCTTATTGCT